AGTGATTAACCAAGGATTTCTGATGAGGCTTGATGAAAAACAATAGTAAGTGCTGTGATTTTATAGGTGCAGACTGGCTAGTCTTATGTGACGATTGGAATCCAGTCAATCCACTTTCATAAATGTGAAAGTGTTGGAACTTGAGTGTTTCATGAATTTTAAAAGACTCCTCAATTCCAAGTCACAACTACTTAATTTAATTACCAAGACTGTAAATGTGTATTACCAGACATTTTTATTAGTTTACATTACATGTGCGACTGACAATATAATAGTACTATATACACTTTAGTGGAGTAGTAGTAAATTTATGTACCTGGTTTGTGGCACTAGCGACCCTTTGTACTTCATGCTCACGAATGAAAAGTTTTCCATTTATTATCGAGAAAACTATCCTCTGTAGCCCCTCAAAATTTTAATAACCCATATTTTTACTCACTTACACGAAATGACCCTTCGGTCCAAACTTATTGCATCTAATAGCCCAAAATATCTATTTTGTATATTTTTTGTATAGTGACAGTCTATTTTGTATATTTTTGTATAGTGACAGTATATTTTATATATTCTTTGTATAGTGACAGTCTATTTTGTATATTTTTTGTATAGTGACAGTCTATTTTATATATATTTTGTATAATGTCAGTATATTTTGCATAGTCACAATATATTATATATAAATTGTATATTGACAGTCTATTTAGTATATATTTTGTATAGTGACAGTCTATTTAGTATATATTTTGTATAGTGACAGTCTATTTAGTATATTTTTTGTATAGTGACAGTCTATTGTATATAAATTGTACAGTGATAGTCTATTTTGTATATTTTTTGTATAGTGACAGTCTATTTTGTATATACTTTCCACCACATTCCTGCCTTGTACATTACTATTTACCAAGACATAATTGGAAAATCAAATGACCAGTGCATATCTGGATTTAAAAGTTATAACCAGAATTGTATTCTTCTTTTCATAAATTTCCTTTTCTTTCTAATTTAATGAAACCATGTAAGCCAAAAAAGAATATAGCTTGTCAAGAAAATAATGGAAATAATTATTTGGTCCCTCATAAAATTTGCCAATTGGCAACATTGGTGATTGATGTAATTCTCCTTAATTCATACTTTCAATATTTTCAGTGGGAGTATTATTTATTGACACTAAAAATCATAATTCTTGCAAATGAAAAATAATGTAAATGGTTATACGTGTCCTCTAGCTAATTGACGTGCTTCGCGGTTAAACAAACAAATAAAAAGAGCAAAATTATGAAAAGCAGAACTCCCCATCTACTTGTTTCACTGAAAAGCAGATCAAGTCGCAAGATTTCACCAGAAAATTCATAAAACCCTAAGATATTTTTCTGTAAGATTTTACCTTTAACCAATAAAGCAAACATCTTTATAATCCTCAAATAAAACTACGTCTTCCACTCCCTTATGCTCTGATCATCTTGTTGATCATTCTTATTTTGTGGGATATTTGAAATTTTTGGGAAAAAAATAGGAAATTTGTTGAAGAAAAACATGTTTTTTCTTATAAATTTTCCTTACTCCAACTGATGAGAAAACAGGGGAAGGAGAAAGGACATAGTTAAATCCTCTGTTTGTCAATATCGGTAGGCAGCTGTCCATTCCGACAAACTCCAGTTTGTCAATTTCGGTGGCTAGCCGCTGAATTATTTTTGGACTATAAAATATATATTGTAATTTTTGGCTACTCGATGTTTTAAGTTTGGCCCGAGTGGCTATAAATGAGTTATGTTCTTTATTATTTTGAAGAATGGGAATTTGGATTGGGAATGTTCAACTTGAATATTGATTAAATTCCTTCTTCATATGCTACTGCAGGGACTTGTAAGTAGTACGTACTAGTAGTACTATATTTTGTAATTATCTTTTTGTACAAATATCTTATAATTATCTCAAAGTGACAGCCAACTTAATACAACTGCTAGCAAGATCACTGGTTTCCTTTTTATGCGGTGGAAAAGCCATATTCGCAGACATTGCCTTACAAGAGATATAAGTATCAACAGTTTGTTTGGTTAGCCATATGATGTTCCGCCATGTCGAAGAAATTATATATAAATACACTCACACGTACAAGTATATTTCATTGTAACATGTGATCTTACCCAAAAGTGGTAAATGTAAGATTTTCCTACGTGTGTGGCCCAATAGGCTTAAAGATAGTCTTTAGGAAAATCTCTTTTGATTATTTTATTAACTAGGTTTAATCAATGATTCAATTAGCCTCCTTTGATTACTTAAAATAATTTATGAACTCAACTAACAATATAATGCAAAAATATCACAAGTTATGCCTCTTTCGATTACATGAACTAGTGAATATAGATGCAACAATTAAATCTTCCAAAACGATTCAAATACATAAAAATAGAGTTATAATCCACAAACAATCATCAATACATCAAATCCATCAAAACCCAAAAGGAACTACTCTATAGACATGTAGAAGTTCTTCACAAATATAACTAAAGTATATGAAAATATAAATTCAATCCAAACCCGAATCTTGAGTGAGGAAGGAATGATGAAATCCTTACGCTTGTGTTCTTCCCAAGCCTCCTTAGGTCGAAAATGTGTCAAAAGTCCATTTAAAATGGTGTTCTGGTGTATTTAAGCCGCCCCATAACAAACCCCGGACGAAACTTCCCTTTTTTAGCAGAAATGGGAAGTCACTCTAACATTTTTGTGCTACCGCACTGCCCCATACGGCGCACATGTATGGAATTTCAGAACGTGCCAAAAAATCATTTCTAGCCACTTTTTGCAATGCCGCGCCACGCCCTGCGCGCGACTGTATAAATTTGGCCAGAAATTAAGTTTTTTTCACTTTGCAGGAAAATTGCACTAATGCTATGAGGCCCGCGGGGCGGTAGTGCAATTTTCTCATAGTGAATTCGTTTTCTCATTTTTTGATATCCAGACTTGGTCCTCGACCCCCAAACGTGATCCTGACTTAATTCCTTGGACTTTTGCTCAAACTTCAAAGCTCCAACTTGTTCGATTTAGCTTCTGAATATCATTTTAACTTGAAATCAATTCTTACAAGGTATAAAATACACAATAAGTGCAATACACTAATATTCAAGCTCAAACACAAGTAAAATACAATAATTTGAGTGCAATACTACGACTAAAATACGAGATTCTAGCCTACCATCAGTAACGAAAGCCGGGGCGAGGATGGGGCATGTTCGATATCCTGGATTTATATTTTAGGCTCTAAAGTTTTTAAGTTTACAATAAACTCACGTGCTTTTCAACTAGCCAACCAAAGGAAGTGAAAACTTTTCAGTGAAAGAGGGAAAATAAGATAACAAGAGTTTTTTTAACTTATTTGCTTTAGGTACTAGTAGTAATGGGTGTTAGAAAAAGAAAAGAGAAGAGAGAGCAGAGAGATACTCACTGCAACCCAAAATATTATTTCTGCTACTATGCCTCCTGGTTACTGTTTAGTTCAGTTACCTTTTTTTTTTCTTGCAAACAAGAAGGGAAAAAAATAAGCGTTACTGTGTATTTTCAAACTGAAGTAACTAAGATAAATACTTACTCGCATAGGCGAATCTATGATTTGAAGGTGGCGGGTGCCACAATTTTCTTTAATGTACACCTTAAAATAACTAATATAGAGTTTGTTCGAAACGTTTGTCCAATTTATTTATTTTTTAGTTTATTCAGGCAATTAATAGGCATTTTTTATTTAAAATTAGAAAATTACATCTCTTTCCCAGAATATACTTGTAAAATTTTACTGGGTATATTGTTATTGTTGTACAAAAATTACATCTCAGACATCAAGAAGAAAATATAATTAGCATTTTAAAGAAGGAATCACACCTTTATTATTAACAATACAAGTAAAATCAATATTTTTTTACTAGGGAACTGCATCTTTTTTTTTTGTATGCTAAGAGTAAATTTGCACAAGTAAAATAACATCTTTAATAAGGGAATTCCACCAATCAGAATAAGAAAAATAAGAAAATATCTTCAATAGATAAATTATATACCATAAGTAAATGCAGAATTAGATAAATACAAGATCCCGAAAATTAAAATAAAAAATCTCATGTTTTTCTAAGCAATACTTGCGAATTATTCATCATAATTTAATAGTAAAGACAGTTAAATTGTATTTAACAATCATAGAATAACACAAATTTTTATGTTATAATAAAAAATAAATTATAAAAATTAAATTTGATCTCAATCCAAAATTTCTATCAAGAACCTAAGTTTTTTGATTTTGAAAAAAAAAAGGATTTGAATTAAGAGAAATTTTTATTTTACGGTATTTTAAATATAGGAGACTCTTTTTTGAGTGTCTTTGCTAAAGATCAAAGATAAAATAATAGAATAGAGAAAAAATATATAAAAAATAATAAACGACAAATAGGAAATTGGGAGATAGCCAAAAAGAAAAATGACTGGGACAAAGAAAATAAAAAGCACAACAAAAAAGGAAAGTCAGACAAGGTTCAAATAAATTCGAACTTGAATTTTGCACACGAGAAACGTTTTTACATAGGTCTACCAACCATGACACCTTTGTCTAGTTTGCGATTGGGGGTGACAAGATCAAATATTTAACCTAGTTTAAGAAATTTTTTACATAAATATATAATAATTTTACCAATCTAGCGGGTGTCGTACCACCCCACCCTAAAGGGTGGATCCGCCCCTGCTTACTCGCACCAGCTGTTTATATGCAATCAATCATTTTAATCTTAGTTAACTAAAAATTAGAGTAAGAATACATATCACCTAATCATAGTAAAATAATAGTAATTTTTTAGATAAAAGATATGTGGATTTGACTGGATATAAGCATTTGGTGCGAATTACCAGTAACTAATGTGTTTGACCATAAGTCCATAACGTATAAATATTTTTCGACGCAAAGTGTTACACCCTGTTGTAAAAAAATTTAATCTTTTTAACATCTAAATTAGTTTTGAGAAAAGAAATTTGAGTTCCTTCTAATTTCATTTCCAGTACTGGTGAAGCTAAAACACTCGTAACTAAAACAAAGTAGGGGGAACTCTTATCAATTTTTAGAGTACTCCAACGGAACTCTATTCACGAAATGGAATGCATGTGAATCGAGTATAAAATTGTTTCTTCTTTCAAAATTTCCCTAAATATTTCTCCACTTCATGGAGGGAGAAAAGGAAAGTTTATTGGTCACTCAATCGTAAGCTGTTGTTTTTCATGACACTAATTGCAAGCCCTATGCGTCTTTGCCGCCATAGTTCCACCGCCAATTCGTATATACAAACAGTGAGAAAACCCCAGCTGAGCAACTCTTTCCATTTAGACGAGGTTACTTCCAGTCGTATATTAGACGCACACCCAGATATCAAAACACTGGAAAAACTACATTCCAAGATTATTTTCGATCCGGGTCTATGTTGCAACACGTCTCTTGCCATCAAGTTGATGCGAGCTTATGCAGCTTGCGGCCAACCTAATGTTAGTCGCCAACTGTTTGACAAAATACCTGACAGGAATGTGGTTGTATATAATGTCATGATCAGGAGCTATGCGAATAACAGGTTCTATCAAGATGCTATTTTTGTTTACAAAGATATGTGTAAACGAGATGTTAGTCCTGATAACTTTACATTTCCCTGTGTTCTTAAAGCTTGTTTTGGCTCTGATAATTTGAAGGTGGGGCTGCAAATTCACTGTACTGTCAGCAAGAGGGGTCTCGATTCTGACCTATTTATTGGGAATTGCCTGGTGGCTATGTATGGGAAATGTGGGTGTTTAGTGGAGGCTCGTCAGGTTCTAAATGGAATGCCCAAACGGGATGTTGTTTCTTGGAATTCAATGGTTGTTGGATATGCTCAAAATGGAATGTTTGATGATGCATTAGAGGTTTGTAAGGAAATGAACTTATTAGGTCATAAACCAAATGCGGGAACCATGGCTAGCCTTTTACCTGCTGTAAGCAATACCAGCATTGAGAATGTCTCGTTCGTAAAAGACATTTTCTTGAATATTGATAAAAAGGATTCGGTTCCATGGAATGTGATGATAGCTGTATATGTCAAGAATTCTATGCCTAATGAGGCGGTTGAGCTCTATCTCCAAATGGAAACTTGTGGGATAGAGCCTGATGCTATAACTTTTGCTAGCATTCTTCCTGCTTGTGGGGACCTTTCAGCTGCATCATTGGGAAGGAGGATTCATGAATCTGTTGAAAGAAAAGGTCTTAGGCCAAATTTGTCTCTTGAGAACTCCTTAGTTGATATGTATGCCAGGTGCGGATGTTTGACCGAGGCAAGGAAAATGTTTGAGGGGATGAAGTTTCGGGATGTTGTGTCATGGACTTCCTTGATATCTGCTTATGGTAAGGGTGGCCAAGGCCGGGATGGAGTTGCTTTGTTTTCAAAAATGTTGGAGTCTGGTCTTCAACCTGATTCTATTGCTTTTGTTTCCGTTCTTTCTGCTTGCAGCCATGCAGGCTTGCTACAAGAAGGAGAGTACTATTACAGGCTAATGACAGACAAGTATAAGATTGTTCCGAGGTTAGAACATTATGCCTGCATGGTTGATTTAAAAGGGCGCGCCGGATGCATAAGTGAGGCCTACAATTACGTCAAGCAGATGCCTATGGAAGCTAATGAGAGAATCTGGGGTGCTCTTTTGGGTGCTTGTCGGTTGTACAATGATATGGACATTGGTCTTGTAGCCGCAGACAATCTTTTTGAATTGTCCCCGAAGCAGTCTGGTTATTATGTGTTGCTATCAAATATTTATGCAAAGGCTGGAAGATGGGAAGATGTAACGACTGTTAGGTCAATCATGAAGGGAAGAGGGATTAAGAAAATGCCCGGTATCAGTAATGTTGAGATCAATAACATGGTGCACACCTTCCTTGCTGGGGACACGTCTCACCCACAATCAAAGAAGATCTATGAAGAGTTAGACATAGTAATAGGCAAGATGAAAGAGGAAGGATATGTCCCAGAAACAAATGCTGCCCTTCATGATGTTGAGGAGGAAGACAAAGAAAATCATCTTGTAGTTCATAGTGAGAAACTGGCCATTGTCTTTGCAATTATGAACACCACCCCAGATACACCCATTAGAATTACTAAAAACCTACGTGTATGTGGAGATTGCCACATTGCTGCCAAGATTATTTCCAAGATCACGCAACGTCTGATTATTGTTAGGGATACAAATCGCTATCATCACTTTCAGAATGGAGTTTGCTCATGTAGTGATTATTGGTGACTCTGCCTTGAGGTCCAAAGGTGTATGCTTATTGCAGTTGCTCATGTTTGGTGACTGCAAAGGTTTTATCCTCCTTATTTTGCTAGTATATTACTCTTTTCAGTCTTGCAATCAACAATTCTTTGATTGCCTGATCACACTTGTTGCTATCTGACAAAGATTGACTGAAGAGTTAGTGGGCACAGATGGCAGACGCCACGAGTAGTTGAAGGGAAATTTTGGACCTAAGTTGCTCACCGTAATAGAGGCCTCTTTCCAGATTCAGATTTGTTATACATTTACTATTAAACTTTATTCATCTTAACTTCAACGTGAGAGAAATAGTTAAATAGCTCAATTGCACCACGTCAGGAGCTGTAAAACTTTTCATCAGCAAATAGAAGCCTATTGTATCTGTGAGAAAATATACCGTCTTCAGTTTCATGCTGGTATTGCTAATCGATTTAACAGATGCAATAATGTGCCAGTAAGCACAATCAGCAGGCTACAGTTAAATTTGAATTCGAATTTCCTTAAGAGTGCAGTATCCATCTAATAAGATACTAGTAATTTCTTGGAGTAATTATGTCTTCTGCTTTATTAAAAAAAGTGATTTTAGGTAGGTATCAAGAAATTTTAAGTACTATTCAGATGTATGCTATAGGATTCACTATTTACAAAGATATATTAATGTGCTTAAAAGATGTAACATGTGTTAGTGATGAATTTATTAATAAGAGTGACCCACTATGAGGGGTTCAATTATTCCAGTTTGTTAATCATACCTCTCACCTACCTTTGCTCACCTAACTTTAGACTAGGGTAGGAAAGAGATGGAAGTAACTATATTGGAGTAAGTATTTAAAGTTTTAAACACGGACATGTTATTTAATAAACGGGACTAGTTGCCTCCCGGAGTTTGTGACAGCACTTCATCTACATTTTGTACTCATATACAAAAGAGGGAGGAAGGTACCTTTGAAAAGAGAAGCCAACTAGTTAACTTATTGGGCTGATTCTATAAATATGATATGATAAAAGTATATAGGCTAGAGTTATTTGGTACTTATACATTTATCTAGTGAAATAAATAAGGTATGGGTAAGCTGATTAGAACAACAACAAATTAAAAAAGTCAAAAGGATAGCTGGTGTGAACTCCATATTTGATATAGGAAAAGGAATTTAGAGAGAAGAATTATACAGCAAAAATGGCTACAGCTTCTTCTGTTTCATCTCCTTCAATGGAAAGGATCATGTCACTTCCACATTCCTCCATGAGGTTGCGTCATTCCAATGCCCCTTCTCTACTTCATCTTTCTCCCCAAGCTGCTCCTTCGTCGTTTTCATCGTCTCTTAGGCCGCCATCAGGTATAATTTCTCTTAATACATCTGTCTTCTTTCTTCTACGATTCCCAAATCCCAGATATATAGCCGTGGTTTGCCGTTTTGGTGTATCTATTTTATGAAGTATAAAGCGGCTAATGTTGGCTAAAAATTTAATTGAGGCAGTTTTGACTGATTGAGACAAAATATTCTCTTTATTAGCTTAACTCTATAATTAATGAAGAAGAATAGAGAGTATTTTGGTTGACTGTTGACCTACACAAGGCATAAGAAGAAGAAAAATGCACAAACGAAAAAGACTAAAAATGAAGTGATCAGTATAAAAAGATGGTATGAGTTTTAGGGTTTAGATCGACATGGAATTGCCGAAAACTGACTTTTTTCTCTGAATCATTTTGCTAAGCTTAAAGATAATATTGTTAGGGATATATTAAATATACCCTAGACCCAATCTCATATTTGATGATTTGAATATATTTTTGTGAATGCTATTTGATATAAAAATATATGGCATTTGATATTCATTTATCATAATTATTATTAATTACTTGATTAATTTAATAAGGTCCTTGATTAAATTTTGAGATTTGTCATCATGATGGAACCATGATAATGAGAGTAAAGTCTCTTACAATTTAACCTAAATTTTGTTCTTGATCGTAGGATTATTAATTTGGACATTAGTAATCCGGTTAGATCAATATTTATGTGATCGTCTTTATGAGATAATGATTAGTTGATCTCATTAATTAAATAACATAAATAGATGATGCATATAGAGATATGATCATTGAACCGATTCATTGGATAATTCCTAATGGTTAGAATTACCATAAACTGTCAATAAGATATTCTCTTGAAGAATGTGATGTAAGAGTTTCCTTTGACCTGATATCATCATAGTAATTGACAAGTTATTTATTGTGCTTTGATACTAGACACCTATGGCCCTAGGGCGATAGTTGAAAAGATATTGATCATACTAGTGATTGATCAAGATGGAATCTGTCAACTCTTGATAATGAGTTTAAGCTCCATGTTGTCATAAATTATAACCGACCAAATTAAGACCTTGGCCAGGGTGATTGAATAAAAGAAGAAAATAGTTTCTTAGGTCATTCAATGGTCGATTATTTTTGACAGGAACACATAGTCGGCCGCCTATTAGGATTGACAGTTGAACCATATCCTAGGGTGACCCAGAGCTATAAGGACAGAAGGAATTAATACATTATTCTTCTACAAGTTCTTGAGAGTAAATTGTATACTTCATGCTATCCGGTCGTTAAGGAGTGTTGCTAGACGCCATTCTTGATTAGTATATTGATGTGATCAATTTACTACCGGCTTAGTATTGAACCTATGAGGTCGCACACTAACGAGTGTTCTGATCTTTGCTAAAGGATTAATTACTTTATTATTTGATAATTAAATTAAAAAATTTAATTAGTTAAATAAATTTAGTTATTAGTCCAAATGAAATATTATTATATTTTTTGTTAGCACAGATGATATAATTAATATTGTGGACAAGTTGAAGTTTTCTATTTTAAATAAGAAAATCAAATTACATCTCTTGGTTTTTACATGACTTTACAATACGTATAAGATCTATATCTTCATCATTCTTGATTAGGACTCACACACACACACATACATATATATATATATATATATATATATATATATATATATATATATATATATATNCTCTCTCTCTCTCTCTCTCTCTCTCACACACACACACACACACACACACACATATATATATATATATACATAATTTCCATTGAAAAATACAAATCATATGCCTCATGGTAAATATTTAAAAAAATATGTAACTCATTTATGGAATTCAATTTTAAATTGAATTCTCCAACTTAGTCAACATTTTAAAATAAAAACATGCAACTCATTTATGGAATTCAATTCTAAATTGAATTCTACAAAATAGTCAACATTTTAAAATAAAAGCATCTGAATTATTGGGACTAATTCATACAGATGTTTGTGGGCCCATAAAAATTCAAGCTAGAGGTGGATATTCTTACTTCATCACCTTCACTGATGATATGTCAAGATATGAATTTGTGTATCTTATGAAACACAAATCTGAATCTTTTGAAATGTTCAAAAGGTTCCGTAGTAAAGTTGAGAAACAGACTGGTCAAAGTATCAAAGTACTAAGGTCTGATAGAGGTAGAGAATATCTTAGTAAAGATTTTACTAGGTATCTCAAAGAGAATGGGATTCTCTCACAGTGGACACCTCCAGGAACACCACAACACAATGGTGTGTCTGAAGGAGAAATCGAACCTTATTAGATATGGTGAGATATGTGATGAGGTTCACTGATCTTCCAATAAATTTATGGGGATATGTTTTGGAAGCAGCAACATACTTACTTAATAAAGTTCTCGCTAAGTCAGTCTCTACAACACCATATGAGATATGGAAATGACGTGAGCCTAACCTTAAACACATTAAAGTTTGGGGTTGTCCAGCTTATGTTAAGAGACTACAGTCTGATAAACTTGACTCAAGATTTGATAAGTGTAGGTTTATTGGGTATCCCAAAGAAACAATGAGATATTATTTCTATCACCTTTCTGACCATAAAGTGTTTGTGGCTAGAGGAGCAACCTTTTTGAAAAGGGAATTTCTTTTGGAAGGAAATTATAGTGGAGAAATAGAACTTGATGAAGTTCAAGAAACTAATGAATCAACACAAAATTAATATCATGAGACACAAGTTGAAGAACCTTTATTGGACTAAAGCAAGCTTCTAGAAGTTGGAATATTCGCTTTAACAAGACAATTGAAAAGTTCAATTTTGTTAGATTCGAAGAAGAACCTTGTGTGTACAAAAAGGTTAGTGAGAGCATAATTTTATTCTTAGTACTGTATGTTGATGATATATTGCTCATAGGAAATAACATACCAACATTACAAAGTACCAAGATTTGGCTATCTGAACAGTTCTCCATGAAAGACTCGGGAGAAGCAACTTATATATTAGGAATAGAGGTCTATAGAGATAGATCGAGGAAGCTACTTGGACTTTCCCAGTCTTTGTACATTGATACCATTTTGAAAAGGTATAACATGGATAATTCCAAAAGAGGCTATCTACCGATAGGCACTGGAATTACTCTCAGTAGGGAGGATTGTCCTAAAACACCTGAAGAGAGAGAAAGCATGAGTAGGATACCATACGCTAGTGCAGTGGGAGCTATCATGTATACCATGATATGTACACGTCTTGATGTGGCTTATGCACTTGGAGTGACTAGCCGATATCTGGCAATTCCTGATGAGGAACATTTGAAGGTGGTGAAGACCATTCTTAAGTACTTAAGAAGGACTAAAGACCAATTCCTCATTTATGGAGATTCTGAGTTGAAACTTGAATGTTATACTAATGCAAGTTTCTCTTCAGATAGAGATGATAGCAAATCTATTTCTGGTTATGTATTCACTTTAAATGGTGGTGCAGTGAGTTGGAAAAGTTTTAAACAAGCTACAGTAGTTGATTCAGTAACTGAAACAGAATATATAGCAGCTAGTGAAGCTGCTAAGGAAGTTGTATGGATGAAAAAGTTCTTAACTGAACTTGGTGTGGTTCCTTCAATAGAAGGTGCAGTTCCATTATTGTGTAACAATACTGAGCCATTCCTCAAGCAAAAAAACCAAGATCACACCAAAAATCCAAACACGTTCTGCGAAGGTATCACTTGATAAGAGAGATCATTGAACGTGGAGACGTCGAGATTCAAAGATGTAAAGGAAAATGTTGCAGACCCATTCACCAAAGCTCTTGGAGCAAAAGAGTTTGACAAGCACAAGTGAAAATTGGGAATGAAATACAAGAGCGATTGGCTCTAGTGCAAGTGAGAGATTATTAGGGATATATTAAATATGCCCTAGATCCAATCTCATATTTGATGATTTGAATATATTTTTGTGAATGCTATTTGATAGAAAAATATATGGCATTTGATATTCATTTATCATAATTATTATTAATTACTTGATTAATTTAATAAGGTCCTTGATTAAATTTTGTGATTTGTCATCATGATGGAATCATGATAATGAGAGTAAAGTCTCTTACAATTTAACCTAAATTTTGTTCTTGATCGTAGGATTATTAATTTGGACATTAGTAATCCGGTTAGATCAATATTTATGTGATCGTCTTTATGAGATAATGATTAGTTGATCTCATTAATTAAATAACATAAATAGATGATGTATATAGAGATATGATCATTGAACCGATTCATTGGATAATTCCTAATGGTTAGAATTACCATAAACTGTCAATAGGATATTCTCTTGAAGAATGTGATGTAAGAGTTTCCTTTGACCTGATATCATCATAGTAATTGACAAGTTATTTATTGTGCTTTGATACTAGACACCTATGGCCCTAGGGCGATAGTTGAAAGGATATTGGGTACGATTAAATACTTGTAGAATTAGTGATTAATCAAGATGGAATCTGTCAACTCTTGGTAATGAGTTTAAGCTCCATGTTGTCATAAATTATAACCGACCAAATTAAGACCTTGGCCAGGGNGGTAATGAGTTTTAAGCTCCATGTTGTCATAAATTATAACCGACCAAATTAAGACCTTGGCCAGGGTGATTGAATGAAAGAAAAAAAGAGTTTCTTAGGTCATTCAATGGTCGATTATTTTTGACATGAACACATAGTCGGCCGCCTATTAGGATTGACAGTTGAACCATATTCTAGGGTGACCCAGAGCTATAAGGACAGAAGGAATTAATACATTATTCTTCTACAAGTTCTTGAGAGTAAATTGTATACTTCATGCTATCCGGTCGTTAAGGAGTGTTACTAGACGCCGCCCTTGATTAGTATATTGATGTGATCAATTTACTACCGGCTTAGTATTGAACCTATGAGGTCGCACACTAACGAGTGTTCTGATCTTTGCTAAAGGATTAATTACTTTATTATTTGATAATTAAATTAAAGAATTTAATTAGTCAAATAAATTTAGTTATTAGTCCAAATGAAATATTATTATATTCTTTGTTAGCACAGAGGATATAATTAATATTGTGGACAAGTTGAGGTTTTCTATTTTAAATAAGAAAATTAAGTTACATCTCTTGGTTGATATATATTTGTGTATAATTATAATTAATATTTGTGTATATGAACATAAATGAGTTACATGCTTTTATTTTAAAATGTTGACTATGTTGTAGAATTCAATTTAGAATTGAATTCCATAAATGAGTTACATGTTTTTATTTTAAAATGTTGACTAAGTTGTAGAATTCAATTTAGAATTGAATTCCATAAATGAGTTACATGCTTTTATTTTAAAATGTTGACTAAGTTGTAAAATTCAATTTAGAATTGAATTCCATAAATGTGTTACATGTTTTTTAAATATTTACCATGAGGCATATGATTTGTATTTTTCAATGAAAATTATGTGTGTGTATATATATATGTGTGTGTGTGTGTGTGTGTGAGTCGTAATTAAGAATGATGAAGATATAAATCTTATACATATTTTAAAGTCACGTAAAAACAATAGAGTTATTATTGAGAAGAAAATTGCTTTGAGAAAGTAATAGTACAATACAAAGCCAAGATAGAAAATACTAGTACAAAAAAATTATTTCTTGTTCTTCTACCTTTGAGTTGAGATTGTTGAGAAAAATTTCAACACAATATTTTCATTCAATTTGTTCGCGGGATTTCATTGATCAAAGAGTTGATAGCAAGGATCAGTCTCGGTGTGGATACGCATAGAATCTTCGCACTATCGAAAAAATTTAAAACAAGACTCTCTTCACCAGGTACGTCTTAGATCCGATCTTTGACATGTAAATAATTTTTAAACACGAAAAGTTCTGCCTAGGATTGTTATTGTCTTCCGCTGCGTGTTATGAACACCTCTACGCAATCCTACAAATATGGGTCTCAATCGGCTTGTAAAGTACCCAGAAGAGGAAAATGACCTATGAGATGTCTATAGTTCAATGACAGAGAGATATCTTCCTTGTGATAATTTGCTATTAGAAACTATCAGAATTTAACTTTTCAAGGGAAAATAGAAGTCCATCTTTATCTAAGGTTTTAAACTTCAAACTTCTTTTTTTTTTTAAATAACGAAAGTATGACTATGCCAGTGGTCCTTTATTAAGGAAAACAAAAATTGATCAAATGGAATACAAATTTAACACGTACTGCAAAGTTACCATACAAGGAGTGGATTAAATACAAGTAAAGTTTGTTGCCCCGGAGAAGAGAGCATACGGCTTCAAGGATCTTGGCACCTTAATTTAGTACTATAGAAAGGCCTTACTGGTCTCAACTCCGTTTATGTTCCAAGTGAAGAAGTCTTTTCATAGTTCCAAATAGGGAAGACAAAAGATTTTAGTTTCTGAATTTTTCATTCTAGGAGACTATTGGAACTTGTCTTTTATCAAGCCAGAGTTCTTTGGTCTAAGCTGTAAAAGTTTTCAGGCTTTCGACGTCACATAGATTCCAAGAGATTTCCCATCTTCAAGATCAGGGCTTCTTCTGAAGAGGAAGAAAATTCTGAATCTTTAGCTCGTATCAGAAAGGTATTTTCCAATGTAAAAGACAAGGTAAGACTCCGCCCTTATTTTATGAGTACTACTTCATAGTTCATTCTCTATGCTTCAGAACTGGCTCATCTTCTTCGTTTGCTGAAATCCAACTATGTTTGCAACTTTCTTATAGTGGGATGAACTCGAAAAGAAACCTACTGTCTTTCTTTATGGAGGTTCAGCCGCCCTTGGTCTTTGGTTTTCTTCAATCCTTATTGATGCATTAGACTCCATTCCCATGGTAAGTAATCTAATTGGACTAGTCTTTTCCAGTTCTTTAGCAAAATATAGGGTGCCAATACTACTAACAATACATTGTGACTAGTCTTACTTAGCCTTGTGTTTTTGGGGTTATCACAATTTCTGCTTTCTTGTGATTCTTGAGCCTAAGTGAATCTCTCTCACGTTTTAACTTTTTTAAACCAGTTACCCAAGTTTTTGGAGTTGGTCGGCTTTGGATACTTTGGTTGGTTCGTCTACACATATCTTCTCTTTAAGGTATGATCTTACATGAAATAGATGCAGATCATTTCTTGCAATTAATCTCTATTCTCAGTTGGGTATAGACATAGGCTAGAATAGCATGCACTTTTGCTAAGAAATTTCAGGTCAATCTTGTAGGAATAGTTTTTCTAGACCATTCAGTTTCACATTGCTCTAGTGATATTTCAAACGAGTTATTGTTTTTCATTCACTTCTTTCCTAAAACTATCACTTCAGTACATGTAGAGCAATTGTGCAAATTTTCCTATGTCAGCTGAGGCAATTTACAGGTTAAAGTGACAGAAGCTGTTAATTAATCCAAGTTTGAGGGGAGGTTTTCGTTAAGTTTTAGTATGTTTTAGTTACATTAGTTAGTTACTAAATTCACCTCCAGACATCGGAGACCCTCAACATGCCAAATAACCTAGGAAATCCTGTTTCAAGTTCGTCTGGTAAGCCACAAATCTACATCTGTAGTGCAAGAGCCTAATCGTTTCGGATTGAAATAACATGCTGAATACAGTATCTTATTACTAGTGTTTTTCCCTGTCAGTGTATAATCATTGCTGAGGGTAGATAGTGCACATGGCTAACACTAATTTGGATTTCTGTTTTCAGTCTGGAAGGGATGAACTGGGAAGTAATATTCAAGCTCTTAAGAAAAAGATTACTGGGGAGGAATAGCAGAAGTCAGTTTCCGCACTGCTGGTCAGAGAACATCTGAACAAATAAGCTTCAGCTACAATGCTTTCTTCTCTATTCATCAATTATTCTTGTATATTCTTGTCTTGTATGAAGACCTTTGTACATCACAAACTAGTCAGCTACCTCATGTAATCCCTCTTTCCCCCAATGCAGAATTTGTGTAGATAGTCTAGTGAAAGAAAGGACATTGCGCTGAATAGAGACATCCAGAAAATTTTAGAAACTAATTAATCTAGTTGTTTGTGCTATTTATCCTTCCTTAAAAAGTGAAGAGAACCATTTGACAGAACAGATATGTTTCTTTTATCGTTTTGTGAATGCTTGCTTCAAGAAGAGCTAGAGCTTTGCATTCTCTTACAAAACTAAATGAGTAGAAATGGCCAAGTTCCAAAAATGTTAAAGGTGTTAATGGTACAAAGTATATTGTGAGCTCACACCTCCACTGCATTCGTTAACATGACATGAATAGATCTGAAGTATTGCCTACGATTATGTGTAAAACAGGAGTAAACAAATTGGTGCATAGTTTAATGAACAGGGATTCTGAACCAATAATTTTGATCAGCTTGGGACACACACACACACACTGTCAGAAGATAAGATTTAATTGCATGAAAATTGCACCTTCTGTGCTAGTAACAAAAAATGATTGGAGTTTCGTGGATCTGTTTTGTTTAACTGAAGGTTACAATAATTTCTAAAAACCAGTGTAGTGTATAGGTTTCTGCACGAAACAGAAAATCCATAATTTAAGCATTGTGGGATTCTAAAAACTATATCCAACTCTATTTTGTGTTTGTTTTTCATATTTATAGGGTTCAACTCCGAAACTAAGAATCGAAATATTGGATTCTGCCAAACTCAGAAGTAGGATTTGAAGGTGACGGGGAACATGAGCGAACTGCTCAACCAATACCTCATAGGACTTTTGATCTTAAGGGTCCCAAGCAAAATATATGATCGTTCTCAACATATATATACTTATATATTCAGAACTTTTGTTGAAGTTAAACAGGATTCAGTGACCCCACTTCTCCAAGCATAGGTCCTAACCGGATATAAACATCATGTACATATTATGTCATTTACTCATCTCCGTAAGGCTTCTTGGATTAGAAGACAATAAGGCCTTGCATTCTTCATCTAACTACTAAATGTAGCATGAATTGACTTTGCAAAAACAATGGAGTATGTTTTTTTTTTGGTCAACTCATGGATAAGTTCGTGCAGAGGACAACTAAGCATCTGTGAACGTATTTTTACATTAAAAAAAAATGTATTCTTTGGCCAACTCAATCATCAAGTAGTTGGAAGTGTAGCAGCTTGCCATAAGGCTCATTATCAGTAGCACGTCTTTCCTTGATCCAAACGTAACAACTTCTTATTTAAGACAGGATTATTTAGCCAATCCTGGTTTTTATGTCTACCGGAAAGGGGCGAATAATAAGGAAAATCATAAAGCAGTAAAAAGCTTTTTAAAATTAAAACCTTAAACAACTATTAAGGTTAAAAATGGATTGATTCTGCGAAATAGCTTTTGTGTGGTTGCAACTTGCAAATAGGAGTCAGCGTTGCACCCACACAGGGCTATTGATTATTGACCCGTTAAACTTGGTGGAAGGTCCAATAAAACTGCAAATTGTGAACCTACTTGCATTTTTTAGACTTTTGAATTGTGAAACAGATCAATTCTGTTTGAATTGCCTCGTAGGCGCTTGACTCAACCCAAGTGATAATCATGAGACAAAAAGGGGATATAAATGTTAAAACATACGTAGTTAGTATAGGACTTACCAATTCTCATTATTAATAAAAGAGATTGGAGATTTTACACTAAGAAAAGAAATTTGAAGTTTCAATATAATAGTTGCGACTGCATCTTACATCACTTGGGTACAGGTTCTGTTTTCACTAAAGGTCACCCCCTCAGTCAATCTTTCCTCAATTCCTCCCTTAGTATTAATGTACTCCCATTTACAGATCCTTACTATTTACGGACCCCCTTCTTTTTCAAAAGATTTTGGAAAGAGAAAATAAATACAGACTAAAATAAACAAAATGCGAGAGAGTGGAGATATTTTGATGTACAAAAAGGCAGTAGATGTTTGACCTCTTCCTTCCCTGACTCCCATAATTCAGCTGCCTTTGGTCAAAATATTCTAAGAAATCCACATAATGCGAGAGAGTGGTACTATTTTAAACAAGAAAATCTCCTTAATTTCACTGTCTCAATTTCCCAAAATCTCCCCGTTTCCCTTCTATTAATAGTCTCCATCATATAACCAATATTGAATTACCATATACTCTATCCAAAATGGCCACCAAACATCAATTTCTTTCTTCTGTCTTATTCTTAGCTATTGTCCAGACCTCAATTGCTAGTGGCATATCCATTTACTGGGGCCAAAACGGAAACGAAGCGACCTTAAACGAAACCTGTGCCTCAGGTAGATATTCATATGTCAACTTAGCCTTCCTTAACAAATTCGGCAATGGTCAAACCCCAGAACTCAATCTTGCCGGTCACTGCAATCCTGCCGTTAATGGATGCACAGTCGTTGGCCCAGAAATCAAACACTGTCAAAAATTAGGTGTCAAAGTAATGTTGTCTATAGGTGGTGGCGTTGGAAATTACTCTTTAGCTTCCAAAAAAGACGCCAAAAATGTTGCACGTTATTTATGGAACTCATTTTTGGGTGGACGTTCCTCTTTTAGGCCTTTAGGAAATGCTGTTGTTGACGGAATTGACTTTGATATTGAGCTTGGATCATCTCTTTTTTATGAAGATTTAGCTAAATACTTGAAAGCTTATGGTAGAATTGGAAGAAAAGTGTACTTAACAGCAGCTCCACAATGCCCGTTTCCAGATAGGTTGCTTGGTACTGCTTTAAATACAGGGCTTTTTGACTTTGTTTGGATTCAATTTTACAATAATCCTCCTTGTCAGTATACTCCTAATAATACTGATAATCTAAAAAATTCTTGGATTCGGTGGACTTCGTCGGTGAATGCTAGAAGGATATTTTTAGGGCTTCCGGCGGCACCACAAGCAGCCGGAAGTGGGTTTATTCCGGCGGATGTGTTGACCGGCGAAATTCTTCCGATGATTAAGAAGTCGCGCAAGTATGGTGGTGTTATGTTGTGGTCAAAATTTTGGGACGAACAAACTGGATATAGTGCTTCAATTCTGAAAAGTGTGTGAAAATTGTTGTGGGTAATTTAGAAATAATTAAAGCCGGAAAGGCTATGAATTAAGCATTTGTTTATGAAAAAAATCATTTTGGATTTTTGTACCTTGCTGAAATCATGGTGTCTATATTCCTTTTTCTTCTTTTCTTTTCAGAATTTTCCCACACGCACCTTCGTACTTTTATTTTTTTATTTTTGGTTCATCTTGTGCTCTCACGCAAAACCCAGTTGGATTTTCTTGCTTGCAATCCTTAGATCTCTTCTACAAATCGAATCTTTATGTAATCGAATCAGTACCTTCTTTCTTTTTCTCTGTGTGTCTTCACATGCAAATGTGTGCAATAATATTTGGACAGGTTCACATTCTTTCTCTTTGTTTGTCACCGATGCTAATTAAGTTTATTAGTTTCAAAAGTTTGCTTAACTGATCTGATTTTATCTCTTTTTCATCTTCTTATTAATTGTTCTCTCCTTGTTATCTCTTAAATCTTAATAATACATTTCCGAATACTTTGAATCATAATCTGCTTTGGTTTGTTTGGTGCCGTTATAAACTTATAATACACAGTGCTTTGTCATCATCTTCCTTAGTAAACAGAAAAAGTGTGCTTCAAAGTTTCAATTTTTCTTTAGATCTAAGAGTTAGAGATTTGAATATATTGTTTATTTGTTTATTTTTTTTAGATCTGTGTGTCTTAGATAACACTTGTTCAAGTGTATCTTGTTTCTGTTGAAAAAGGGGATAAAGATTTTAGAATTTGTTGTGTCTTTGTTCAGATCCAAGTTATTATCTTTTTTTCTTACTTGGCGGTTGACATTTCCGGTGAAAAACGAGTCACATTCTGTGCGTAGCTTCTTGCATTCTGAGTTAAAACGACTCTTTCAGAGTTCAGATTCCCTTTCTCTGTAACCAAAAATTCAACTCTCAGTCAACTGTTTCTTCCGGTCACTCTTTTTACAGTTTATTATTCTCCATTTGGTTCACTTAAATTTTCTAATGCCTCATCTGTTTTGATATATATATATATATATATATATATATATATAAATTTTTCTTGAAAGTATAATTTATGTGTGGGAGGAAGAG